AACACACTGAGTCCCCAAGGTGTCACATGCACATTCAGGGGTATTTGGTGCCAAAGCAGTTGGTTTGATTGTAACTAGAATGGCTTTGGCGCTGAACTTCTCTCTGGATATGGAGTTCCTACCACAACGAGTGAGAATCCACATGCTTGTTTTCAGCTGGATGGTCAACATTCTTGATTTCATTAAACTGGGCTCTATGTGCATGATTTAAGAAGTGACAAAACAAGACTTCCAGGAGAGCTGCTTGTAAGCCTGATGGTATGTGAAGTTAATGAACCAAATGGAGTGGTTTTACCCCTGGAAGACCTGTGCTGCTCCTTCGGGACTATGCCATTCACTCACACACAAATTTGCCTAGGCATCACGTGCACATACCATATTACGTGGTGCCAGGCAGTTGTTTTCAATGGTTAGTGATAATGGCTTTGGCACTGAACTCCTTTTTTCTTTGTGGAATTGCCATCACATTGAGTGAGAATCTACATCTTTGTGTTTTGGTGAATGCTCAACATGCTTAATTTCATTAGAATTGGTTCTATAGGCATGAGAAGTGAAGTGAAAAAGTGAGTTTCAGGAGAGCTGATTGTGAGTTTGCTGTTAGGTGAAGTTAATGACCTAAATGGAGTCGTTCTTGCACTGGAAGACCTGTGCTGCTCTTTTGGGACAATGTCATTCACCAGCACACAGAGTTCCCTAGGTGTCACATGCACATTCAGCAGTGTGTGGTACCAGAGCAGTTATTTTCAATCTCACCTGGAAATCACTGTTGTGCTGAACTTCCCTCTTGTTGTGGAGTTCTTAGCTCATTGATTGAGAATTGAGAATCTACATCCCCCCCCCCTTTTTTTTGGTGGATGTTCAAAATGCTTGATTTCATTATACTTATCTCTATAGGCATTTGTGAGAAGTGACAAAAAATGGTTTCTGTTTAAGCTGCTAATAAGCCTGACGGTATTGATGTAATGACCCAAGTGGAGTCGTTTTTTGGCTGGAACTCCTGTGTTGATCCTTTGGGACGATGCCATTCACCAACATACTGGATTCCCTAGGTGTCACCTACACATTCAGAAGTGTGTGGTACCAGAGCAGTTGTTTTCAATGTTAGCTGAAAACTGCTTGGGCACTCAACGTCTCTCTGGATGTGGAGTTCTTAGCATGTTGAGTGAATATCTACATCCTTATTTTGGGTGGGGTGCTCAACATTATTCCTTTCAATACAGTGCCTTCTATGCTCATTAGAAGTAAAGGGACAAAACAAAATTTCCTTGAGATTTGCTTGAAATCATGATGGTTTGTGATGTTATTGAACCAGATGCTGTAGCTTTGGCAATGGAAGATCTGTGCTGCTGCTTCAGGGCTATGCCATTCACCTTTTAGCACACTGAGTGAAAATCTACAACCTTGTTTTGTGTGGGGTAATTGATATGATTCCTTTCAATCCTGTTCACCCTATGGATATTAGATGAGCCCTGACAAAACATGATTTCCGGGACAGCTGCTAGTAAGTGTGATGGTATTTGAAGGTACTGACCCAAGGGGAACAATTTTGCCATGTTTAGCACGTTGAGTGAGAATCATCTTAGTTTTGCATGGGGTGCATAACATGGTTCATTTCTTTATATTGGGCTCTGTATTCATAAGACATGTAGTATCAAAACAGGAATTTCAGGAGATCTGCTTCTAAGCCTAATGGTATGTGAAGTTAATGAACCAAATGGAGTATTTTGCCCATAGTTTGCATGCATGCTGATTGTCTCAAGCATCCCCCAAATCCTCAGTGCCTGAGTGAGGAGGCACGTGGAGAAGGCCCAGGACCCATGAGCCTGGTCATCATGGCTGGATGTGAGTGAATGTGGAGGAAAACAGATGTCAGACCAAGCAGGGTGGGTAAGAGTTTGACACACCAGCCCGGGTTAATGCCACCATAAAGGGGCTAAGGAGGAGCTCCATAGTATGAAGCCCGTGTCCGCCTCAGGCTCCAGGTGGCATGGGGCCCTACTCTGTGCCCTACTGGGGCTCACCTCGTTGGATCCACTGAATCAGCAGGTGCAGGAGGGAGAATAAAGGAAGAGAGATGGAAAGGAAATCCTGCCAGTATCTGCCAGGATGCCCCACGTTCCCATCACCAAATGTTTCCTGGTACAAGTCCTAGATTCTTTTTCATTTATGATGCTTTTACTCCTTAGAAAAGTAGGACACAGGTTAAAATCCCCTCACGCTGAACACCCACTCAATAGGATTTGAGGCCACACCCTCTGTCTTGCATGGCCGGCTTCCCACACAGGTGCCCGCTCATGTTCGGGATGATCCTCTTTCATTCCAGCTCCCCGCTTGTGGCCTGGGAAGGCACTCAAGCACGGCCCAAAGCCTCGGCTCCCTGAAGCCAACGAGGACACTCAGAGGAAGCTACTGGCTGGACCTTCAGTGCCTGCCTCTCAGCTTCAGCTTGTGATGGGATTGGGTGAGAGGACCAGGGTGCCTGGGACACTCAATGTCTCCATTCCTCCCTGTCTCGGTCTCTCTGTCTCTCTCTCTCTCTCTGCCCTTTCTCACTTTTCTGACTCTCTTTCTATCTCTCCGGCTAATGGTGAATACATCCATCCATCCATGCATCCATCCACGCATCCATCCACCTATCAAACCATCGATCAATCGCTCCATCAGTGATCACAGTGAAATACTAACCAGCACTCTTAGAAAACAAATCTTTGTTTCATTTTTAAATATGAATTTATTGATTCCTTGGCGGATCGAGGAAGCCCCAAATCCCCGCCCCGACTGATTTCCCCTCATCCCACTCACAACTTGTCCTCTTGGGTTTCCCAAGGCCTATGTGCACGGGGAGCCCTTGTCTCCAAAGACAAGACCTGGCTGAGTATTCCCCGTATATTCTCAGCCCCATCTGGCTTTCAGTGATGGAGCCATGGGGCTAGCTGCCTGTATGCTCCACAACGCATTTGCCATGCCCTTTCCAGATCAAGTAGGTCCAGCCAATGTTGCGAGTGTGCGTGTGTGAGTGTTTGATGCACTGATCAATCAGCAAACACATGAACCAAGAAAGCAAGTGTCTCTCCCTGTTGATGCATGCACGAAAAGTATGTCCGTTATTGAGAGATGAGACCAGCACCCACAATCTCCCTGCAGGTGCTGACCCACCCCCGCGGATGGACAACCCCTCCCACCAAGCAAAGCGTGGGAAAGACCCCTGCCACTAGGGAAATGACTAGAATCGCAGGAGCGGCCTCTTTGCCTGTTTGTTCTTCCTCTTGGGAGCTCTGGCTCTGCCTCTGCTTGCCAGACCGGGGAGCTGGCTGGCATTCTCGGGCAGCTGATGTGTTGGCTGGCCAGCTGAGCTGCACTGCCAGGAGCGTTCGTGTGGCGCAGGATGGCTGGTCGGCTGCACGCTGGGTCGTGCCTGATGAATGAGGACTGCCTTGCTCGGCAGGCTGGGCTCCACTCTCCTGAGGTTGAAGGAGCCCTTGGGCCGCTGCTGCTCTTGCAGGGATTTCCACTCATCTAAGCTGAGTTCCTGCATTCTCTGCTCCAAGTGCTGCCGGCCTTCTTCGGCTTCCGGGTCGGAAGGCTTTGCAGGCTCTGCTGGGGTCCTGGCGTCGTGTCTCTCTCGAGGCCCAGAGGCGGGCGCTCCCTGGCCCCGTGACACTTGCCCATTGGCCCCGTCCCATCCACCCTTGCGCACGTAAAAGAGCACGTAGGCACTTTGCTTCAAGGCCGAAGCCAGGCCACAGGCGGTGACCTTGGCGTCATCCATCTCATACCAGCGGCCGTCGCCAGCTTTGACGTAGCACAGGTAATGTCCTCGGTCACGACGCAAGCCCACGTGCACAAGGACAGCATAGAGCCTGTACTCCAGTGGCCCCCCGTTCTGCCGAGACAGGTAAGGCCTCATGTCCAAACGGTCAGGATAGTGCACCGGCTTGGCCATTTTGTCACGCGTGAAGTCAGAAAAGCGTTTCAAGACCAAGACGAGCACATCCCCACACGTGTGCAAGGTGAGTGTGCGGGAGGCAGGCGTCTTCCTGAGGCAGGCAGCACAATCATAGGCGTTGTCCCCGTCCAGCTCTTCCGGGCTCACCAAATGCCGCAAGGCTTCCTGCACATTCTTGGCGGCCTGGATATCCAGCACGATGTCCAGGTAAGGGTCCCATGTGTCTGAAGTGCCTTGGCACTGGAGACATGTGACTCGAGACCTCCAGTGGCCTCCAGCTAGCTGATGGCTTAGAGGCTGGTCCTCAGAGGGCGCCAGCTGGCAGTTGAGGCCAGGCAGGCCTGCTGCCCTGAGGGCATCCAGCGCGAACATCAGAAACTCGTGAGCATCTTCTTGGCGGTTTCTGTGAAAGCCAGCAGCCAATGCCTGACAGGGCTGGATCACGTGGCCGGGACTGTGCAGAGCCCAAAGGAAGTGACTTTCCAGAGCACAGAGCGTGCAGAGCTCTGAACGGCGCTGGCAGGTGCGGGAGTGCTCCTGAGACAGCAGATAATTGGCGAGTGGCGGGGTGTACGTCAGACACTGGAGGGCTGCATTCATGTAGCAGGCGTTCCCCGGGTTCTGCAGACCAGCCCCGATGCCGTAAGGTTCCATCCAGCACAGAGAAGCTTCCCCTCTGGCAGCCAGCTCTGTGTTCTCTGCAGCCACACCCTCGTCCAGCTGGGGCTCTTTCTGAGGCCGGGCTGACCACTTCCCTGGCACATACAAAGCCCCGCCTGGATAATGAGACTTACCCCCCGAGTGCAGTGAAGCAGCCTTGGGCACTACTCCAGGGGCCATGGTCCCGAGACTTGTGCGCTGGCGTTCCACTCTCGCCTTCCCTCTCTGCAATCTTGCTCAGATCACGGACGCTCTCCCTCCACTCACCACCCTTATATAGCCAACTCGACCCGCGACCCCGCCCCCCAGCGGCCAGCTCCACCAATCAGCTTCCAGTGCGCAAGAGGTCAGAGGCCTGAGGGCGGGACAGCCTCCTCACTCAGGACTTCTCACATCACCTGCTCTTCTCCATAGCGCTGGGAGAGGATGGACTTACCACCATCACCTTGCTCTCTGTCCACATGGCAACCAGCGGGGGATGATGGCCTGGTTGATGCCAGAGATTTCACAAACAACAACAACCAAGAGTGATAGAACGCTAGGATGCCATAAAGCTTTGGTGAAAGCATCACCTCATGTCAGAGAGTGTGTGTGTGTGTGTGTGTGTGTGTGTGTGTGTGTGTGTGTGTGTGTGTGAGTGTGTGTAAGAGAGAGAGAGAGAGAGAGAGTTTGGAGACATGTATATTCGGTGGGAGATTGGTTCCATTGCAATCCCACCAGCACAGGTTAAAATCCCCTCACGCTGGAAACACACTCAATAGGATTTGAGGCCACACCCTCTGTCTTGCATGGCCGGCTTCCCACACAGGTGCCCGCTCATGTTCGGGATGATCCTCTTTCATTCCAGCTCCCCGCTTGTGGCCTGGGAAGGCACTCAAGCACGGCCCAAAGCCTCGGCTCCCTGAAGCCAACGAGGACACTCAGAGGAAGCTACTGGCTGGACCTTCAGTGCCTGCCTCTCAGCTTCAGCTTGTGATGGGATTGGGTGAGAGGACCAGGGTGCCTGGGACACTCAATGTCTCCATTCCTCCCTGTCTCGGTCTCTCTGTCTCTCTCTCTCTCTCTCTGCCCTTTCTCACTTTTCTGACTCTCTTTCTATCTCTCCGGCTAATGGTGAATACATCCATCCATCCATGCATCCATCCATCCACCTATCAAACCATGGATCAATCGCTCCATCAGTGATCACAGTGAAATACTAACCAGCACTCTTAGAAAACAAATCTTTGTTTCATTTTTAAATATGAATTTATTGATTCCTTGGCGGATCGAGGAAGCCCCAAATCCCCGCCCCGACTGATTTCCCCTCATCCCACTCACAACTTGTCCTCTTGGGTTTCCCAAGGCCTATGTGCACGGGGAGCCCTTGTCTCCAAAGACAAGACCTGGCTGAGTATTCCCCGTATATTCTCAGCCCCATCTGGCTTTCAGTGATGGAGCCATGGGGCTAGCTGCCTGTATGCTCCACAACGCATTTGCCATGCCCTTTCCAGATCAAGTAGGGCCAGCCAATGTTGCGAGTGTGCGTGTGTGAGTGTTTGATGCACTGATCAATCAGCAAACACATGAACCAAGAAAGCAAGTGTCTCTCCCTGTTGATGCATGCACGAAAAGTATGTCCGTTATTGAGAGATGAGACCAGCACCCACAATCTCCCTGCAGGTGCTGACCCACCCCCGCGGATGGACACCCCCCTCCCACCAAGCAAAGCGCGGGAAAGACCCCTGCCACTAGGGAAATGACTAGAATCGCAGGAGCGGCCTCTTTGCCTGTTTGTTCTTCCTCTTGGGAGCTCTGGCTCTGCCTCTGCTTGCCAGACCGGGGAGCTGGCTGGCATTCTCGGGCAGCTGATGTGTTGGCTGGCCAGCTGAGCTGCACTGCCAGGAGCGTTCGTGTGGCGCAGGATGGCTGGTCGGCTGCACGCTGGGTCGTGCCTGATGAATGAGGACTGCCTTGCTCGGCAGGCTGGGCTCCACTCTCCTGAGGTTGAAGGAGCCCTTGGGCCGCTGCTGCTCTTGCAGGGATTTCCACTCATCTAAGCTGAGTTCCTGCATCCTCTGCTCCAAGTGCTGCCGGCCTTCTTCGGCTTCCGGGTCGGAAGGCTTTGCAGGCTCTGCTGGGGTCCTGGCGTCGTGTCTCTCTCGAGGCCCAGAGGCGGGCGCTCCCTGGCCCCGTGACACTTGCCCATTGGCCCCGTCCCATCCACCCTTGCGCACGTAAAAGAGCACGTAGGCACTTTGCTTCAAGGCCGAAGCCAGGCCACAGGCGGTGACCTTGGCGTCATCCATCTCATACCAGCGGCCGTCGCCAGCTTTGACGTAGCACAGGTAATGTCCTCGGTCACGACGCAAGCCCACGTGCACAAGGACAGCATAGAGCCTGTACTCCAGTGGCCCCCCGTTCTGCCGAGACAGGTAAGGCCTCATGTCCAAACGGTCAGGATAGTGCACCGGCTTGGCCATTTTGTCACGCGTGAAGTCAGAAAAGCGTTTCAAGACCAAGACGAGCACATCCCCACACGTGTGCAAGGTGAGTGTGCGGGAGGCAGGCGTCTTCCTGAGGCAGGCAGCACAATCATAGGCGTTGTCCCCGTCCAGCTCTTCCGGGCTCACCAAATGCCGCAAGGCTTCCTGCACATTCTTGGCGGCCTGGATATCCAGCACGATGTCCAGGTAAGGGTCCCATGTGTCTGAAGTGCCTTGGCACTGGAGACATGTGACTCGAGACCTCCAGTGGCCTCCAGCTAGCTGATGGCTTAGAGGCTGGTCCTCAGTGGGCGCCAGCTGGCAGTTGAGGCCAGGCAGACCTGCTGCCCTGAGGGCATCCAGCGCGAACATCAGAAACTCGTGAGCATCTTCTTGGCGGTTTCTGTGAAAGGCAGCAGCCAATGCCTGACAGGGCTGGATCACGTGGCCGGGACTGTGCAGAGCCCAAGTGAAGTGACTTTCCAGAGCACAGAGCGTGCAGAGCTCTGAACGGCGCTGGCAGGTGCGGGAGTGCTCCTGAGACAGCAGATAATTGGCGAGTGGCGGGGTGTACGTCAGACACTGGAGGGCTGCATTCATGTAGCAGGCGTTCCCCGGGTTCTGCAGACCAGCCCCGATGCCGTAAGGTTCCATCCAGCACAGAGAAGCTTCCCCTCTGGCAGCCAGCTCTGTGTTCTCTGCAGCCACACCCTCGTCCAGCTGGGGCTCTTTCTGAGGCCGGGCTGACCACTTCCCTGGCACATACAAAGCCCCGCCTGGATAATGAGACTTACCCCCCGAGTGCAGTGAAGCAGCCTTGGGCACTACTCCAGGGGCCATGGTCCCGAGACTTGTGCGCTGGCGTTCCACTCTCGCCTTCCCTCTCTGCAATCTTGCTCAGATCACGGACGCTCTCCCTCCACTCACCACCCTTATATAGCCAACTCGACCCGCGACCCCGCCCCCCAGCGGCCAGCTCCACCAATCAGCTTCCAGTGCGCAAGAGGTCAGAGGCCTGAGGGCGGGACAGCCTCCTCACTCAGGACTTCTCACATCACCTGCTCTTCTCCATAGCGCTGGGAGAGGATGGACTTACCACCATCACCTTGCTCTCTGTCCACATGGCAACCAGCGGGGGATGATGGCCTGGTTGATGCCAGAGATTTCACAAACAACAACAACCAAGAGTGATAGAACGCTAGGATGCCATAAAGCTTTGGTGAAAGCATCACCTCATGTCAGAGAGTGTGTGTGTGTGTGTGTGTGTGTCTGTGTGAGTGTGTGTAAGAGAGAGAGAGAGAGAGAGAGAGAGAGTTTGGAGACATGTATATTCGGTGGGAGATTGGTTCCATTGCAATCCCACCAGCACAGGTTAAAATCCCCTCACGCTGGAAACACACTCAATAGGATTTGAGGCCACACCCTCTGTCTTGCATGGCCGGCTTCCCACACAGGTGCCCGCTCATGTTCGGGATGATCCTCTTTCATTCCAGCTCCCCGCTTGTGGCCTGGGAAGGCACTCAAGCACGGCCCAAAGCCTCGGCTCCCTGAAGCCAACGAGGACACTCAGAGGAAGCTACTGGCTGGACCTTCAGTGCCTGCCTCTCAGCTTCAGCTTGTGATGGCATTGGGTGAGAGGACCAGGGTGCCTGGGACACTCAATGTCTCCATTCCTCCCTGTCTCGGTCTCTCTGTCTCTCTCTCTCTCTCTGCCCTTTCTCACTTTTCTGACTCTCTTTCTATCTCTCCGGCTAATGGTGAATACATCCATCCATCCATGCATCCATCTCCACCTATCAAACCATCGATCAATCGCTCCATCAGTGATCACAGTGAAATACTAACCAGCACTCTTAGAAAACAAATCTTTGTTTCATTTTTAAATATGAATTTATTGATTCCTTGGCGGATCGAGGAAGCCCCAAATCCCCGCCCCGACTGATTTCCCCTCATCCCACTCACAACTTGTCCTCTTGGGTTTCCCAAGGCCTATGTGCACGGGGAGCCCTTGTCTCCAAAGACAAGACCTGGCTGAGTATTCCCCGTATATTCTCAGCCCCATCTGGCTTTCAGTGATGGAGCCATGGGGCTAGCTGCCTGTATGCTCCACAACGCATTTGCCATGCCCTTTCCAGATCAAGTAGGGCCAGCCAATGTTGCGAGTGTGCGTGTGTGAGTGTTTGATGCACTGATCAATCAGCAAACACATGAACCAAGAAAGCAAGTGTCTCTCCCTGTTGATGCATGCACGAAAAGTATGTCCGTTATTGAGAGATGAGACCAGCACCCACAATCTCCCTGCAGGTGCTGACCCACCCCCGCGGATGGACACCCCCCTCCCACCAAGCAAAGCGCGGGAAAGACCCCTGCCACTAGGGAAATGACTAGAATCGCAGGAGCGGCCTCTTTGCCTGTTTGTTCTTCCTCTTGGGAGCTCTGGCTCTGCCTCTGCTTGCCAGACCGGGGAGCTGGCTGGCATTCTCGGGCAGCTGATGTGTTGGCTGGCCAGCTGAGCTGCACTGCCAGGAGCGTTCGTGTGGCGCAGGATGGCTGGTCGGCTGCACGCTGGGTCATGCCTGATGAATGAGGACTGCCTTGCTCGGCAGGCCAGGCTCCACTCTCCTGAGGTTGAAGGAGCCCTTGGGCCGCTGCTGCTCTTGCAGGGATTTCCACTCATCTAAGCCGAGTTCCTGCCTTCTCTGCTCCAAGTGCTGCCGGCCTTGTTCGGCTTCCGGGTCGGAAGGCTTTGCAGGCTCTGCTGGGGTCCTGGCGTCGTGTCTCTCTCGAGGCCCAGAGGCGGGCGCTCCCTGGCCCCGTGACACTTGCCCATTGGCCCCGTCCCATCCACCCTTGCGCACGTAAAAGAGCACGTAGGCACTTTGCTTCAAGGCCGAAGCCAGGCCACAGGCGGTGACCTTGGCGTCATCCATCTCATACCAGCGGCCGTCGCCAGCTTTGACGTAGCACAGGTAATGTCCTCGGTCACGACGCAAGCCCACGTGCACAAGGACAGCATAGAGCCTGTACTCCAGTGGCCCCCCGTTCTGCCGAGACAGGTAAGGCCTCATGTCCAAACGGTCAGGATAGTGCACCGGCTTGGCCATTTTGTCACGCGTGAAGTCAGAAAAGCGTTTCAAGACCAAGACGAGCACATCCCCACACGTGTGCAAGGTGAGTGTGCGGGAGGCAGGCGTCTTCCTGAGGCAGGCAGCACAATCATAGGCGTTGTCCCCGTCCAGCTCTTCCGGGCTCACCAAATGCCGCAAGGCTTCCTGCACATTCTTGGCGGCCTGGATATCCAGCACGATGTCCAGGTAAGGGTCCCATGTGTCTGAAGTGCCTTGGCACTGGAGACATGTGACTCGAGACCTCCAGTGGCCTCCAGCTAGCTGATGGCTTAGAGGCTGGTCCTCAGAGGGCGCCAGCTGGCAGTTGAGGCCAGGCAGGCCTGCTGCCCTGAGGGCATCAAGCGCGAACATCAGAAACTCGTGAGCATCTTCTTGGCGGTTTCTGTGAAAGCCAGCAGCCAATGCCTGACAGGGCTGGATCACGTGGCCGGGACTGTGCAGAGCCCAAGTGAAGTGACTTTCCAGAGCACAGAGCGTGCAGAGCTCTGAACGGCGCTGGCAGGTGCGGGAGTGCTCCTGAGACAGCAGATAATTGGCGAGTGGCGGGGTGTACGTCAGACACTGGAGGGCTGCATTCATGTAGCAGGCGTTCCCCGGGTTCTGCAGACCAGCCCCGATGCCGTAAGGTTCCATCCAGCACAGAGAAGCTTCCCCTCTGGCAGCCAGCTCTGTTTTCTCTGCAGCCACACCCTCGTCCAGCTGGGGCTCTTTCTGAGGCCGGGCTGACCACTTCCCTGGCACATACAAAGCCCCGCCTGGATAATGAGACTTACCCCCCGAGTGCAGTGAAGCAGCCTTGGGCACTACTCCAGGGGCCATGGTCCCGAGACTTGTGCGCTGGCGTTCCACTCTCGCCTTCCCTCTCTGCAATCTTGCTCAGATCACGGACGCTCTCCCTCCACTCACCACCCTTATATAGCCAACTCGACCCGCGACCCCGCCCCCCAGCGGCCAGCTCCACCAATCAGCTTCCAGTGCGCAAGAGGTCAGAGGCCTGAGGGCGGGACAGCCTCCTCACTCAGGACTTCTCACATCACCTGCTCTTCTCCATAGCGCTGGGAGAGGATGGACTTACCACCATCACCTTGCTCTCTGTCCACATGGCAACCAGCGGGGGATGATGGCCTGGTTGATGCCAGAGATTTCACAAACAACAACAACCAAGAGTGATAGAACGCTAGGATGCCATAAAGCTTTGGTGAAAGCATCACCTCATGTCAGAGAGTGTGTGTGTGTGTGTGTGTGTGTGTGTGTGTGTGTGTGTGTGTGAGTGTGTGTAAGAGAGAGAGAGAGAGAGTTTGGAGACATGTATATTCGGTGGGGGGATTGGTTCCGTTGCAATCCCACCAGCACAGGTTAAAATCCCCTCACGCTGAACACCCACTCAATAGGATTTGAGGCCACACCCTCTGTCTTGCATGGCCCTCTGTCTCTAGAGGCCCGAGGCGGGCGCTCCCTTTATTCACCTTGTCCCAGCAATTATTTTTAAATCAATATGTGAAACAACTGTGCAAAACCACTTTGCAAAAGCATGAAATAACTTCATTTGTATAAGCATGATATAAATCCACTTTTTAAAAGCACCATATAAATCCACCTTGTAAAAACAGTGATTTCTAAAACCACTTTTTATAAAATTTCTAAATCATTTTGCATATACACAATATAAATTCAATTGGTTAACCATAACTTAAATAACTTTGTAAGCATGATATAATTCCACTTTGTACAAGCATGATATATACCCACTGTGTATAAGCAGAATAATAATTTACTTTTAACATCCAGTGTTTAAAACCATTTTGTAAAACAAGTGTGCAAACATCTTTGGATAAGCCTGATAAAAACCCACTTTATATAAGCATTATTTAAACCCACTGTGTAACAGTAAATTTTCGTAAAAGTAATTTTTTTAAAACAACTGTGTAAAAGCACTTTACAATGCATGATTTTAATCCAATTTGTATAAGGACAATACAAATCAACTTTGTATAAACACAATATAAATCCACTTTGTACTAGCAGGATATGTATCCTCTTGTGAAATCAATTATTCCCAAAATAAATTTTTTAAACAACTGTGGAAAGCACTTTGCAAAAGCACAATTTTAATCCAATTTGTATATGCACAAAATAAATCTAGCTTGTATAGCACGATATAAATCCACGTTGTATCACCAATTATTTCGAAAACCACTTTGTAAACCTCTATGCATAAGCACGATATAACTCCACTTTTACAAGCACGACATAATCCCAACTTTTATAATCATATTATGAATCCACTTTGTATAAGCACAAAATAAATCCACGTTGTATCACCAATCATTTCTAAAACCACTTTGCAAAACAACTGTGTAAAACCACTTTGCATAAGCACAATATAATTCCATTCTTACAAAGCACAATATAAATTCTCATTGTGACGCCAATTATTTCTAAAACCTCTTTGTAAAACAACATTGACTAAGCATGAAATAAATCCACTATGTATAAGGATGATATAAATCCCCCTTGTAACAAAAATCATTTCTAAAACCAACTTGAATAAAACTGTGTGAAAAGTATTTGCCTAAATCTAATATAAATTCACTTTGTATAAGCACGATATAAACTCACCTTATAACACCAATTATTTCTAAAATTAATTTCAAAAACAACTGTGTAAATGGTCTTTGGATAAGTACCGTATGAATCCAATTTTAATAAGCATGAAATAATTATACTTTGTAAAACCAATTATTTCTAAAACCACGTTAGAAAACAATTATGCAAAACCACTTTGCATAAGCATATATAAATGCACTTTGTATATGCACTGTAAGAGTACATTGTGACCCTAGAAGGTCAGCAAGCACAGCATTGCAATTGATTGGATAATAATTGTATGATAACAGCCAAAGGAATACCTTTTGTGTACCTGATTGGATATCATTTGTATAAGAACAGGTGAGTATTCAGCATGTGAATGAGAACACTTGGTGAAATATACAAAAACAAAGGAATTCCAATCAAGAGTAAGGGAACAGTTGATGCATTTTGTTGATAAGTTCAATACTTCCTCCCTTATCCCATATGGACTCTCAGAGTATAAAGTCTAATGCCACTAATAAACTTTGGCTTTGAACATCAGTCAGAGTCCACGCGTGTTATTATCAGCTCCATGTACCAAGTCCATCACTGCTGTTCTGTATATTCCACCAAGTGTTCTCATTCACATGCTCTCCACTCAACTGTTAGCTAGATAAGCTTGTGTTCCACTATTTCAGTAATGAGGCACAGTGGATATTAATTCTTCAGAGGGATAAGACTCACATAAATAAACAACCAGTACAAATTTACACAAAGGCAAGTTAACAAAGGCAGATAGCAGAAGCCAATCAATTTTTCTCTAGTTACTATTTTTATGTATGGTATTTTCAAATCTGCTCAGCAATGTCCCTAGACAAATGACCATCACTTTTATATATTCTTAATCTAGTGATTAACATGAATTTTGTTAAATATTTTTATCTGGGCTCAGATCCAAACAGTCTTACATGTAAACTAGGCTTTCAAATATCTCTTTCTCATTAATTCATCCTGTTTCCTAGATTTGAAAGGCTGTACCAACCTAAAGAGATGCAATAGACCCTTGATCTCAGAAACCCAATGAGCTCTCCTTCCTGAAGCCCTTTGCACTTACTAATAAAAGGAGTGAGCTATACTGTGACATCTTCTGAGGGCTCAGCCAGCACAGCTTACAAAGGTAGCATAAAAGGATTCTCTCAGACTGTCATTCTATTGAAAAAAAAAATCATCAGGATAATCCATGTTCTTTGTACCATAACTGTGTGACCAAATATGCTTCTGGACCAGAATCAGTAGCTTAAAAAAATTTCAACTTATCATTCCTCAAACTTCTAATTCCTCTTTCACTTGTAATCTTAATTTTGGCCTTCATTCTTTCTTAGAATTTTATAGCATACTCTTTGCTACAATGTGTGTTCTTATCTTCCTGTACACTCTTCTCTGCATGACTTTAAGAAGAAAACTTTAAAGAAGCATGTGTATATATATACATGTATATATATATACACAATTTATATATATATATAGTGCAACTAAAATGTAATTAGGCATCAGAGCCTTATAAAGATTTACTAATGAATTTCTTCCTGTTTTCTTCAAAACACATGATATTCTGCTCTAGCTATATTGAACATGACAAGACTCTAGAACTTTGTGTTTGTTCACCATTAACTTTCCATGTTTGGGCACACTTGCTTTCATTTCCCCTAAGAGTAAATCTTGTTCATGATTTAGCATTTAGATCTATTATAACATTCTTGATAAAAGTGGCTGACCTCCAAACTCTGGGTTGAGGGCCTTTGCTTAGATTTCTTCAGCACTGCTATTTAATCAGTAATCTCAGAAGCAACATATTGCCCTCTAAAATATTACAAAATTTTAAAATGTTGTGCCAGGGCATTTCACTGCTGTGCCAAGTTCAACAGGTATCAGAGCATGACCATCCAGTATCCCCTCCCATTTCTCTATGATCCATCACATCTTCCTCAAATCCTGAGATTTAGTTAGGCCCATATGACCTTGCCGTAGAATTGGAACTGATGTTCTTGTACAGTGCTTGTTCCATGCTGGGAGTTATTCTACCATCCTGGCCAGTGTTGTGGCACATAGAATGACCCAGGACAACAGTAGGCACTTTCTCTCTCTTCCCAAAATAACTGAAGGTGCCTTAAGGATGAGAAATTTATTAACTGCAGTATAAGGAGCCACCTTCGAAAATGTGCAAAGCAATTGTAATGTGTCACATAATGAGTGAATGGAGGGAATTTCATGCATCACAACTATTCCCACAGTGGCCATACTGAAGTCTTAGTCACCAAAATGCAGTTTGACACCCCATCATAGTGAAGAGTTGGTGTTTTATAGGACAAAAATTCAACCCATCTGTTCTTATTTTTTATCTTTCATATTAGTTTGTGTGTTTGCACATGTCAAAGCACTGGGAGTTTACATTTATCTGTGTTTTCACCCAGGCAAATTGAAGTGCAACTATGGTACAAAAAATTATTGGGAAATTTTAAAACCTACAAAATAAGTTGTACATGTTTGTAATACTGTGACTGAGTTTCTTGCTGCCTTTCTCCACTTTGATTTATGCTATGAATTATGTCTCCCCCAGCCTATCTACCCTGTACATGGTCCCTACCCATTCACTGCTGAGTAAACGTTTGTATTTTCAATAGTGACTGTTGTATTACTGCAACACTTGTGTTCATGTACTCCTTATATGTTCACCTAACATTGTGTCACACACCTCTTTTACCCACTTCACTTCTTCTCATCATGCAGATGTCATATCATCTTCCAACATCACAAGAAGGGTGATTGCAGCATAATATAGTACTTTCAGAGATTGAAGCTTAGTCATAAAAGTTTACTCTTTTGGAGACTCAATACAGAGACTGCAAGAACTTATATGAGAGTTTGGTAGAGTGGCAGGGTACAAAATTAATGAACAAAAATCAACAGCCATAGTGTACGCAAACAGCCCCAAGATGGAAAAAGATCTAACCAGCAAGATGCTATTCAAAATAACAGAGAAAATTATGAAGTATCTAGGAATTAATCTAACCAAAAATGTAGGAGACC